GCTTGTGGCAGGTCCTGCAAGTACACTTTACTGTTTCTCAGTGCTCAGCCCAGAGGCAGGGCACACATCTGTTGGGCAGCCTTCCCTACCACCCATCTTCAAAGCATTCCCATCCTCCCAAGCTGGAGCACTGTCCCCACTAGACAGTGATTCTTCTCTTTCCATTAATGTGGGACCTACGGCTCTGCTTCCTAAATGTGACTATGACCACTCTTGGTGTCCCAGGCAATGTTTCATGAGGCTTGTGCTACATCCCCATAGGGTAGTTAGGCGGTCAAATGAGACCAGGTACCTGTGCAGGGTCTCACGCGCGTGAGAGAGAACATTGAATGTTACTTTCCTCTGTCTCTCTTCCCCCTGACAATGTGAGCCTGCCTTCCACTCCACATGGCCCAGCGGGTAAGCAGAAGGCATCTTGCACACTGAAGTTTCTAGAGAAAGATCCTGGGACCTATATGTCCCAGGCACGGTCATCAAAGCACACAGGACAGCTGACCCCGTCTTTCCCTCCTTTTCAGACGTCTACCCTCTCCAAAGAGCTTTTGGCACATACCATGGAGACACCTGTGAGTGTCACAGGCAGGGACATGAGTAATGATGCTGTCCTAGCAGTTATTTGAGCAGACCTCAATAAAACAGTGAAACCCCACAAGTCCAAAGGAACACTCCCAGTTTAAAAATACACTGGTGTGTGAACAGCCCTTCCAAGCTGAGTAGCATAGTCCCACATTAGACAGACCCGCAGGTCACCTGCGGCACTCCCCCAGGCCAAGCTTTCCAGGTATCAGCAGTGACGTTATGACATAGCACTGGCTGCTAAAGGACCCCTTTCCTACTCTTCTACTGGGTGGTTCCCCTTTCCTTCTGTGGCTTCAGAACTCTTTGCCATGCTGGCTGGCTGCTCCCATGAGTTCCCTGGTATGCTCTAGTTTTATTTCTCAACTGTCTGAACTGTGGCTGCAGAAGCAGACACGGAATTCCAGACATGGTGTGAGTAACACGGAGGAGAGGGAAAAAACTGATTATTTCCTGCTCATGACAAAATGGCCCCATTTCACATGCTGGGTATTTTTCCTTTAAAATATTTTGATTTTTCTTGCTGGGCATGGTGGTGCCTGCCTTTAGTCCCAGCACTCAGCAGATGGAGGCAGGCAGATCTCTGAGTCTGAGGCCAGCCTGGTCTACATGGGGAGTTCCAGGGTAGCCAATGTTACACAAAGAAACCCTGTCTCAGAAAACCATAAATAAATAAATAAATAAATAAAATATATAATTTTTCTCATTTTGGTTTTGTAGCCCAGGTTGGCCTTGATTTCCGTTCTCCTGCCTCAGCCTCTCAAATACTGATACTACAGAGGTCTGCTGTCATTACAAGTCTAAAGTTTGTCTTTATCTCAAACGTGGTTAACCCTTCCAGAAAAATCCACTGCTGAACCCTTACTCTGTTTCCTGACAAGAAAGCTTGTGGAAAAGGGTTAACATGAGGCTTCTAAGCTCTCAGGCAGCAGTCAGCGGTCTACCTTCTCTGCTGAGGGTTCTTCATTTATGGACCTGACCGACTGCGGAATGAAAATATTTTAATACAAAACAACAACAACATAAAAACCCTTGTGCCTGTCCTGCAGACATACAGATTAATCTTTTCATCATTTTCCCAAACAGCACAGTTTAACAAGTATGCACTGTGCACACAGCATGGATGCAGAAGCAGGCAGGAGTGTGTGAGATTGCAGTCAATAAGCTGTTCAGAATGTCCCAGAGGGTAGATGGTGCCCTTGCGTCCAGCCAGAATCTGCAAATGTGGCACCCCTTGGAAACGGCATCTGTGCCAGGTATGGAATTACATGCCTGTAATTCCAGCGTTTGGGAGGTGGAGGCAGGGGGATCAGGAAATTCAAGTTAAGGTGAAGTCATAGTGGTCAGGACGTGGCCATTGCCTGGGGTTTGGATCAGGAGAGGAATCTGAACAGCAAGGGGGAAGCCCATGAAGATAGGTGCTGCAAAGTGTCATTGTGGTGCCTAAGCAGAGTCTCCCTCAGTAGAGCCACAGGGATCTGGTCCTTGTGGGCCTATGGTCTGGAACTTCTGGTCATCTGGGCTGACAGTGAGTCCTGCTGTGTTTGTCACTGGCTCACTGTGTGGAGTCACAGTCGTTATAGGACAGGACTGCTTCCCTGGTCCTTAGGACAGGACTGCTTCCCTGGTCCTTTCTTGGCTGTTCACCATCAGACTACTTATTCCCCGGCCTTTGACTTGCAAGTTTACTCGTGCCTAACAAGGGCATCCTTTAAGCCGAGCTTTAGAGGCCCTTGGGTCAACATCCCTCCCCCCGCCCAGACACACAAGGCCAGGCTTGCTTGAAGATAAGCTTTATGTTGCAACATTTTGTAACAATGTCTCTAGTTCTTTGATTATAAACTTGTTCTGGTTGAAAGCTAGGCTTGCAATGGCTCAGAGGAGGAAGAGAGATGTTACCTTCAGCCTGTGGTCTGATGCCCAGTCTGTGCTGCACATGGAGTTTTATCCCTAAATTTTGAGCTCTATTTCTGTGAGCCAGGAGGTTTTTTATCCCGAGAGAAATTTAGATGGTGGGCTTCCTCTGTGCCTGCTGCTTGGCCAGCAGCAAAGATAACTGTCCATTTGAGTTTTTATGAATACTCATCTGGGACTGGAGGCAGATACTCAGTGAGGAAGAGCCGTGCTGGGTGGATATGGGCACCTCAGACACACAGCATGGAGGCTGACCAGATGGACCTGCAGGTGCTGGCAAGATAGTGTCACCTCTTTGTGTCTGCTTATTGTACAGCTCCCAGCTCCTAGCTATAATCTTCATTGGTACCATCCTTGAGATGCACATTTGTGAGGATCTGTCTGCCTATTGTGCAGGCATGAGACTGACTCTCCAAGCTGTAACCCTGGCTGTATCTCCGAAGTGAGAACTAGGCATTCTGGTGGAAGGGGTGTGGTAAGATTCTTTTGTTTGTTTTGGTGTATAACCCCTCTGAGGCTTCACCAAGCTCAAGTGTGCAGACATCCTGAGATGCAGAACCCATGGGCCAGGGACACTTCTGGTTGTGGAATAGCTGTCATCACATGGAAGATGCCCTGTCTCCTGGAACCATACACTAAATGCTGACTGAAGTGTGCCTCAACTGACCCTGAACTTCATCTCACTTTAAGATTTTTTTCCTTTGATAACTTCAATTAGAGATGCTTTTCTCTGAATCTCCTGTGGAGAGTGCATAGTGAGAAATGAGCCATCTCCAGCAATTACAACAGTCTGCAAAAGGCAGGAGACAAGCTAAGCTCTGCGACTCACTAGCCACAAACTTGGCTAAGTGATGCACTTCCAAGTCTCACAGACCGATAGGCAGGGCTTCACTTCCTGGGGAGTGGGAAGTGGGTGTGACCAGTTGTTGCTGTGCCAACCCCTCAGTGGGCTGTGGCTCTGTTGGTGAGAGGACCCTCACATGCGTGAAGTACCGTGTTTGTTGGTGGAAGAAGTACTAGTATTAGTAAAGGTGGCGGGATCCGATGACACTCCACACACTCACTTGGGTTGGAACCCCGTGGGGTCAGGATCCTGTGGGCATTTTTTTTTGTCCTGCCATCCATCTTTGTCTTTCTTTCTGGGTGTAGCTCTGAGCAGTTGGATGGGAAAGTTACTTCAAGAAGATGGAAGTGGGGTTTCCAGGTGAAGAGTCTTCCCAAGATGATGTGACCAAGTTCCTTATGATTGGATGATTTCTCTTTTGGTCTCGACAACTCTTGTGGTTTAACATGGAGGGGATCCGAGTATTCTCTAGGCTGAGGGACCATGATGAGCTCAACACCAACCTTACAGCAAAGGCCACTAGTGCTGTGCCACAGTTAAGAGCATCCACGGAGCAGCTCAGCGGCAGTCCAGTTTCATTTTGCTTTTACTGGTGGCATGAGCAAGGCAGAGATACAAGGAGCAGGCAGTCAAATGGGTATGTTCCGTGCTCAGCCTTACCCTCTTCTGGCTGGCAAGTCTTGCACCCATGAAGCAGGTGATGAGATTTGAGCCTCGGTGGGGGTGTGGAAGCAAAATGCCCTGAGCAGCTGCAGGGATCCTGGCCTCTTCCTTTGCATTTCCTTTTTATGTGGAGTATTTGGGAAAGGGAATAGCAAATGACTGGAATGGTGGGTTGGTTTACTGACCTTTGGCAAATTAGTCTATCTTTTGTGAATTATAAACTATAAAACGGTATCAAGTGATCCAGAGTAATTTGGTCTCAGATTAGCGCACTGTTGCAGCTCCATTGTTTGCTCAGCAGTGGGCAGCACTGAGTCCCCCATCACCCCCCCCCCAATGCTCCTGTACACACCCAGCACTGCTGCTCTTCCCATGCCTGTGTTCCAGGATCTCTGTGGCCTGACACATGGACTGAGGGTATAACCTGCTGCTAAGGGAGCCTAGCCCTATATTCCAGTGGGTGATCTGCCATGCCACATCCCCAAACACAACCTGTGACCTACTATGTCCCCCTTAAACTTAGTCCTATTTATCCTGTTGGCTCACCTAATTCTGTCCTCATCTGGGCATGTTAGAACTAGTTCCCAAGTCTCAGTCTTGTTCTGGGCAATGTCGGATTGTGCTGGATGGAGAGACCAGGATGGCCTTTAAAATATAACATTAAAAAATCCTCAAAAAATGTAAGCTATATTTTAGACACATTTTTTCACCTTCATAAAAATAAGACAATAGGCAAAAGGCACATTTGAAGGAAATACGCTGCAAATGTGTATTGATTTCACTTCCTTAATCTTTCACCCAGTTAAATTACAACATGGCTAAGAAATAAAACTCTTTAAAACATTAAACATCTCAGATGAGAAGATGAAGGACTCACATAACTTCTGAAAAGCACCACCAACAGGGCTGGATTGGTTTCACTGAATCCAAATGTGTCAATCTATGGACAACTCATTAAAATTTTATCTTTAGAAAAAGATAATTAATGGGAAAAAAGACTCACCTGCCAGAAGTCGGCCACAGTGGCGGGAAGTGGGCCCTGGGTGGCAATGTACGCAGGATTTCGTGGGTCATGGTCCATCTGCAGGAACAAGAGAGTGGGTATAAGGCTCAGTCACAGAGACAGGAAGACACCACAGCACAGGGCAGCACAGCTCCTGCCCAGGGCTGCTAACGAACAAGGCCTGCGTAGCCAGACCCATGACCCTCAGATGAAAACAAAGGCACAAAAGCCAGGGATCCTCCAGTTGGCCAAGTCCTTCAGCCTGGCTGTCCTGTTCCTGAGAGGTGCACACAAATGAACACCAGGAACCAAGCAGAATAGAGACAGCGCCTGGCTGTATGGGGGCAACTCTGAGTAGGGTGGGGAAACAACTTCCACCCACTCCAGGATATGTGGAAGCCTGCCAGAACTGGGATTTAGTAGAGTGTGGGTAGACCTGAGCAGGGGGCCCATGCCCATTTACAGTAGGCAAGTTTGTGAGTCTTGAAAGAATAAACACATGAAGAGATGCCTGGCTAAGGAGCTCATTCATGTTGGGGGTTCATCTTCAGAGGGGCAGGTGCAGCCAGCCACCTGGCTTGGGGGTCACTGGCCTTGTTTCAGTGTATGTATGTCTGCATGTGTGTGTCAATCTGTGTGTGTCTATTAGTGTGCATATGACTGCATGTTTGTGTGTGTATAAACATGCGTTTATATGCCTACGGGTATGTGTCTGTCTGTACATTTGTGTTTAATGTGTCTGTCTTTAATGTGTATGTGTGTCTTTGTGCGTGTGTATGTGTGCGCATATGTCTGTGTGTCTGTATGTATGTCTTCATATATGTATCTGTATGTGGTCTTCATGTCTGTGTCCATGTCAGCATCTCTGTGTGTCTCTCTGTGTGTGCATTCCATCTGTGCATATCCCCATGTGTGTGATCACAAGCATTTCACAGACATGGGTCAGCCTTCTAGATATCCATTTCCATCTCCTCTCTTCCCTGACTGTGAGAGATCAAGAACGAAGAATGCTACTTGGTTTGTTGGCATGTGCCTCGCTTGCTCCCATAGTGGAAACCCAGCATCACAGACCTTGCTCACAATGGTTAACTTGAAGACTGACTGTGCGGGGGGGAAAAAATAAAATGAACACAAGGGCAAATATTGTGGGGTGCACTGAAAAGAAGCCAGATTAGTGGGCTTCTTCCTTGGCAACTCTACAAATAACAGGGACCCTGGGCATCACTCTCTCCAAGTTACAGAGCAGTTATGCCCTTTCTAAAGGGACCCCAGAGACCAGCCCTAGGGGAGGAGACTGCATGGGGGTAGAAACTGGTTAAGACAGCTACCCAGTCAGACCCACCCTGTCCTTGCCAAGTCCAAAGCTGGCATCCAACACTTTGACTTTTGCATTTGATTAAAGGTGTAGAATGTGGAGTGAGGTTGTAGCTCAGTGGTAGAGCACTTGCCTAGAATGTATAAGGCCCTGAATTTTAATACCCTCTCTCTCTCTCTCTCTCTCTCTCTCTCTCTCTCTCTCTCTCTCACACACACACACACACACAC